TCCCCTTGTGTAATAGATTGGCGCTTATACATATGTTCGTGCTTGGCCGAGCTTCTCCTCCGATTTGTGCGTGCGCCTTGATGTTGTCACACAAAGGGAAGGGACTTACAATTTTACGCTGTTTTTCATGGCAGAAATACACTCGGAGGTTTGCCATTGCCTGTCGAGGGGCGACCGCTGTTAAGGATAAACATTCTCTCCTAAATTTGTTTGTAAAGTTGCTTTGACCAGGGCTTGAACCCAGGCTATGCGCAGTGGAAGCGCGCACTGATTACCACTACACCACAGCGGCCGTTCTTTTACGATCCCATTAATGGGTTCAGACTAAATAAATTTTCTGAAAAAGAAGATTGCGAATTTTTTTTATACATATTTTTAATTTGAAAAGTCAAGCTCGCAACACTTGTTTATTATAAGCAACAACGTATACATTAAAATAATAATGAACAAACAATTAATGGTAGATTAAATTAATAGTATTGTTCGCTGAAACTAAAATACACACCAAAAATCATTCCTGTGGCAAACTATCGTAAAAATTATGATGGTCTTTAGGCAAAGTTGCTTTTAAATACTTCAAATCTAATTGGAGAGACCTCAAAAGGATTTTCCAGGATATGTTAAAGACTATTGCATTTACCTACCTACAGTTACTTTTTCACATAATGGAATTAACTAAAATATTTATGTAAACACTTGTTGCACGTCCCCTACTTTCATATAACGGCAAATTTAGAAACCACGAAAATGGACTTAAAATGGGCGTTTCTCGCCCTAATTGCATTATGTTAATGTATGCACATACTTATATTTACGTTTGCAACTACTTTTAACTTATCAAACGATTTCTAATCTATGACAATACATGTTTGATTCATTCGTAAAATCTGCGTTTTGCAAAAAAGCTTAACATTAATGATTAAAATATTATGAAAGTGCTGTGCTATAATTTTAGTCATGTTTTTTATAGTGTTAATATTAAAAGCAATCATACGTTCTACGAAAGAAGAAGAAGAATTTTCTGACTACACTGTAGTTTAGAATTAATAAAAAAGGTTATTTTACCTATAATAAGTCTTTTAAGTCTTTTATTTATATGCATACGAATAGGTTCTATACTACATATTTTTTTATTGCTTAGGCTTCATTCAATAAAGTATATTGATGCAAAGTGTTAAACTATGAGACTCACCAAAACTAAATATAATAAGATATAAAATATGAAAGAATATAAAAAATACTGGTTTTACTTTCTTAAACATTATAATATTTTTATGTAGAGGCACTTGACAGATTCGCAGCGTCATCGATGTTTGTTTCCTTGACGACTATAAATTAAAGGAAAATTATAAGGCGTCTGAAAAGCAAGTTTCAGTGAAAAGTCATACATGTACTTACTTTTAATTACATTAAGTAGTGCTCCCGGCTTAGGCTTGCCGTTGATAGGTAACTGATGAAATTGCCTATTTATCAAGTCCCACATTGCAGCGAAAGGCGCAGCGTAGGCGATGTTAAACACATTGTATGCTTAAAAGCATAGTATATCCACAGCTTTAATATTTAATTTTGTATTGTTTTTTTTTATCCAGCAAATTCCTTTTTAAAACGTTTAAAATTATATTATACGTTTCACAGCAGCCAACAATTAATTCCGCAATGACACGCGATACAAAAACTACGATGAAATATTAAACTGCCGGTAATTGAGTATATTGAACGGAAATATTCGTAGGTTGTACGAATTTAAAAAACATGTTTCAGCATTAGTACTTTATATGAAAGTATTAACTAAATTGTACGAATAGAGAGATGTAGATTTCGTAAATTTTAAAACCATACGTGAATATTACGAATACCTTCCTACAATATACAAAATTATTCGTACAGAGATTTGTCCAGTGCTTTACGAATCTGTTTCGTAAAATAAACGTAAGATTTCGTAAATTGTACTGAAAAAATTCCTTACGAAAGTCCTTTCGTTATATTTACGTATGGTTCGTAAAATCTTGTTTCGTTGTGAAAAATGTTTTCGTATTATAAACGAAAGTTTCGTACATTGTACAAAAACCAACACTACGAAAGAATTTCGTAGCACTTTTACGAAATTTAATTTTCAGTGTATATGCTTGAAACTACTATTAACTTATCAAGCGATTCCTAATCTTTGACAATACATGTTTGACTTCATTCACCACGCTCTTGTAAACTGACTAAGTGACCAAGTCCATGGTCCTTTTAATATTATATGAACATCCGAAAGCATTAAAACGTTTGAAATAAATCTCGTCTCACTTTTTTTTTATTTTTCACTTGGTTTCTGAAGTAATGAAGAATTGAAAATTCATAAGGGAAAATTATAGTTTTCTTATTTTTTATTTTAATATCTTAAAAATGGGTAGACTTATTGAAAAATGATAAATGAACGTGAGATACTAAATTTAATAACCCTTAATTTGATATATCGTCCTGTTTATAACAATTAACGCATTCATAGATATTACAAGCCAAAGTTTCATTTTCAAAATTCATACACTTTGAATCAATTGCACGGGCTAAAGATAAGTTTTAAATTAATCTTTCTTGGCCAATAACAATTGGCTCAGACCTAAGACATCATAATATTACTATTACAATACGGCCAAATGCCTTTTATTTTCCCCCATACAAAATCGACCCAGCCTAATATATATACATACATATGTACATAAATATTCAAAAATAATGTTATTGCGAAACCCTCAATACAAATCGAATTCGATAGCGTAAAAAAAATATTCATATTTTTTTGGACTTATCAAATTTTCTGTGACTACTTTGGACTTAGCAATTTTGCACATCACGGAATAAAATGGGTAGAAATAAAACAAGTAGTTAGATCCTTTCAGAAACGGTGCATTTTCAATTTTCCTTGCTTCCTGCATCAAAATCTAATTGTTCATAAAAAGTGGACTTAGCAACATTTCACTCTAAGCTAGCGAAATATAAGGAAATTACACTAGTTATTGGAAATTCATATATCTTTCTTTTTGCGAAATTTCGCCTTCATCCATCTGCACGGATTTTGAGTTTGTTTTTCAATTCACTAAATCCCAGCCGAATGTATTTGAGGCCGTGGACCGCGATTAAACCTCAGCCATGGGATTCTGTAGCAAATATAAGAGCGCCGGGGTGTGCGGTAAGGAGTACCACCAAACGCCAAAATGCCCTGGTATAGATCAATCTAGTGGGTAAGGCTTCCTCAAGTGGGCACCGAATTTACCAACATTAATATTTTTCAATGATATTCAGACAGCGCCGAGTTTTGTAGTCGAACAGTACACTGTGTAATTTTTGTTGTAAAATTCCAAATAGTTTTTTTTTTAATCAACAATTGAAAATTTTTGCAGTGTTTTGGAAATCTTTATTTTTCTTTGAAAGTAAGTGTCCGAATGAAAAATTTTTTTGGGTGTAGATTTAAGGAACATTAAACTATACAATGAAATTATTTGCGTTACAAAAATATATTTTTTTTTTGCTTTTCAATAAATTTTTTATGAAAAATAGAATTTTTAAGCAATTTCTGCGCCTCGTGGATGAAAATTTTTAACGGCTACTTATGTAACAAACATTTCTGCATTTATCTATAAAAAAAAAATGCGAACGTTTCGATATAGTTTGGTCGGAATGAATTTTTATTTGTCAGCGTGCGCGCCCGACTTCCGCGGGCATGCGAAATTCGAGCATGAGAAATAAATGTGGAACGATTGAAACGTGCATTTATTTCATGCGCAAGAAGTCAATACGGATTGCGCGCGATCCAGCCAGGCGAGTCGGGCCGGCACGCTGGCAAATAAAAATTCATTCCGACCAAACTATATCGAAATGCACGCATTTTTTCATAGACAAATGCAGAAATATTTATTACATAAGTAGTTGTTAAAAATTTTCGTCCACGAGGCACAGAAATTGCCTAAAAATTCAATTTTTCATAAAAAATTTATTGAAAAGCAAAAAGAAATATTTTTGTAACGCAAATAATTTCATTGTATAGTTAAATGTTTTTTAAATCTGCACACAAAAAATTTTTTCATTCGGACACTTACTTTCAAAACAAATAAAAAAATGTCCAAAACACTGCCAAATATTTTCAATTGTTGATTAAAAAGAAACTATTTGGAATTTTGCAACAAAAATTACACAGTGTAAAATACCTTTACAAACCTCTTTTTCTTGCAATGCAAAGGAACTCTTTTGCAATCTCTGCCAATCTGGGGTAGAAATCTTTTTTTTCATTCCACCATTTTAATGGATCTGATTTGCGATCTAAAAGCTTTTCATTTAAATATCAGGGGTTTTAGGAGTCACCGATTACGAATTTGATGTCTGATTTTAATAGAGTTAAATTGACCTCGAATTCGGGTTCAGCGAACCCTAAAACCCTGTGTAACGATTTTCAAGCGAATCCGACGAATTTTACAAAAAGTGTCCGCCATATTGGATCCGCCATTTTGAATTTTGAGAAAAAAAATATTCATATTCGTAATTAGCGACCCCGAAAACCCCCGAGTAACGAGTTTCAAGCGAATCCGATGAATTTTTCCAAAAGGTGTCCGCCATATTGGTTTTCTGGGGTTATATCAAAACCCTGAACTGATGGGGTTAAATGGACCTCGGATTCGGATTCAGCGACCCCAAAAACATAAAGTGAGCTACATAGTGAGACCTTTGGGTCAGAACACAAATTTTTTTTTGTGTGGCTGTGCTATTAGTGTTTCCTTGAACACGGCGATCAAAGTCAGTCCATAAGGGGTTGCTGTTTAAATTTACTCTGATATCACTAATAGTGTCCTCACTGTTTGGAACATTTTTGTTCTCGATTAATCGGATGAGGCTGTCTTTACAGGCCTGAAAAGCTTCTTTGTCCGTAAAAGCATTTTTCTTGAACCTTGGATCTACGATGGCTGAAACTGATAAAATTATATTGTGCTCAAAGCGAAGAAACCGTTTACCTATGTTGGATATTAATTTTTCAGCAAATATACGGCCTGTATCTGTTTGTAACAGATTTAACTTGTTATTTAAAAACGATTGCAACCCTCGAATTAAAATAATTACTTTTGACACAGTATCGTACTGTTCAGCGCTCATTTCCATTGTCAAATCTTCAAAAGGCTTTAATAGTTGAGAAATCTCATTCAAAACCTCCCACTCATTTGCGGCTAAAATACTTATGGGGTTATGCAGCACACCGATAGTTGCCTCAAGAGGCTCCTGAACTTCAATCAACCTTTGAATCATATGGAATGTAGAATTCCATCTGGTTTGTACTTCCATTTTTAGTTTTAATTGGGGTTTATTCATTGTGGTCTGTACTTCCTTTAATTTATTTGCAGCCACTATACTTCTATGAAAATATTCTACAATTGAACGACATTTATCTCGCAAAACGTCAACGTTACTCTCCTTGAAGGAATCGCAGATAATTAGGTGGAGCGTGTGGGCAAGGCAGGGTATGCTCTGCCACCCGGTAAGTCTAATGGCAGCAATGACATTAGCTGCATTATCGGACGCAACTGCGCAAATTTTCTGACTGATATTCCAATCAGTTACTGAATCTATTAAAACATTTCGCAAATTAATGGCAGTGTGGCGTTCATTCATTCTAAAACAATTTAAAACCAAACTTTTTTGCTGCCAAATGTTGGATATAAAATGAGCTGTAAGCGATACAAAACTTTCACTTGTTAAAGATGTCCATGCATCTGTGGTGGGGCATACGAAATTGGCTTCTGACAAAATTTGCTTCACCTCATTTACGCGCTCTTCCTAAACTTGTGGCAACAGTTTCTTCGTTAAAAATGTGCGGGATGGAATATGATAAGAGGGATTCAGCTCACTGATGAAGTTTTTAAAGCCAACGTCCTCGACAATGGAGAACGGTTGAAAGTCTTTCACTATCATTTGTAGTAGCTTCTTATTTAAAGCTGTTACCATTTCTTTTGATAATTTTGGTTGCGTGTAGTTGCTGAGCCTCGTTTGTTTTGTAGCTGATGACGTACTATGTTCAGGGGCCATTGTGGCATGTTCTATGTACAATGTTAAATTTGAAATACATAAATACATATATGGAAACGTTACTATGCAATAAAACACTTACCATCGTTTCTTACCGATGTTGTTTGCGATAACTCAATTGTTGGATGCTTAACAAGGAGATGCTATCGTAAATTGGATGTACCTCCACCTAATTATTGTAATATATTTATTGTAAATAATTTTAGTTATTAAATAATGAGCAAATATATAGGCATACCTTTGTAAGACAGAGTAGTTTTACAAAAATCGCATTTTGCCCTTACTGCATCCACCGCTGTAAAGTGCTGCCATAATCCGCTCCGTTTACCTTCGTTTTCTGCAATTAAATATTTGTAGCATGTAATTTATAAGCTAATATTGTAAAAATACTTACTCAAACGCGACGCCATTTCGAACGTTAATGTATAATATTCAAACGTAGATTTTCTTTGAAAAGAGAGTAACCACAGCTATTGCGAATTTGAAAAAGTCTAACAACGTTGCCGCAAGAACTATAGCGGTTGGTAGGACTGTTGCGATAAGTACAAGAAAGGGATGAGTGTTTGTGATGGCAGTATTATCGAGATGCGGTTGTCGTACATATTATGCTTGTTAATATTTTACGAAAACATCGTCTGATTTGTACATTTAGGGTCTTTTAGGCAATATCATATAAAATAGCTATGAAATAAATTCTTTTCAATATTTAAATATATATTATAGCGAAGGTTTCATGTATCGAATCGGTATCGGGTACCGAAAAGGAAGTATTGGGTACCGACAATTCAGCACATCACTACTAAAGAAACATATGCCGTGATGGTGAGAAAGTAGCAGAGCTGTGCGCAGGTGATACTAAAACCGAAAGCAACACAACAAAGCCAAATTACAGAGAGCGAAGTTAAAGAAAGCATTAATCCAGCAAATTTGAAACTGAAGATAAATGGGATAGCGAATAGGCAGATTGGAGCCAAGAATGATAGAATACAAGATTGCGCCAATCGAGCTGAGAGCAACTGGCCGTGACGTCAAAATATACCAGAATGAGAGAGCAAGACGAACTCGACAAGAAAAAGAAGAAGCATCGAACAAAAGGCAGTATTGCCAAGTTTTGAATTTGAAAAAGCGCCAAATTTTTATTGGTGTATTTTATGGACTTTATATGAATACATAATTTTATTGTAAGGATGCCGATTCAAAATAATAAAAATCAATGTTTCTTGCACAACGGTCGATTTCTTCTGGCATGATTGAAGGTGCTGCACATATTTCGTTGTCGCTTATGATTGTCACTGTGCCATGATTTTGTTTAAATTTTTGTTGCTTAGCACACTTAAAATTGCTATAAATTTTGCTTCCATTTTTTTAAGAATTTCTAATTTTAAGTCTTCAAACTAAAAACAAAAGCACCAAAAACGCACCAAGCACAAAACTAAAAAATTTTCGCGTTTTGAATACCCACTAAATTCGGTGCGAAAAGCATCAAGTTGGCAACAGTGAATGTAAACAAAAGTATATTATGACGTCAGCGATTGGGTGGATACTGTCAAATCGACGAAGAGAGGGTTAGCGGTCCGCGAATGGCACGACCTTTATTTTCTGGATCGTGGATTGGAGCAATAGCCATAAAGTGTAACAACAATGATGTTAGAAGTGTATTAGCTGAAGAAATTAAGAATAAGCTAAGTCAGAAATATGATGTTTTCCTTCCGGGTATGCGTTACCCAAAACTATTAGTATGCGGTTTATCAGATCAATTACAATGCGCCAATGTGGAAGAAGCAATTAAAAAATAAAATGATTTCGAATTCAAATACATAAAATGTACTAAAGTCTATCCTTCCTTTAAAAATACGCGAAAATTCAATGCTTACGTAGAGGTAGATGGTGATGCTTTCGAAATGATCATGAAAGAGCAAAGACTCAACATTGAGTGGGATCGTTGCACTATTTACGAAAGCCTCGACGTACTAAGATGCTACAAATGCTGGGGTTTCAACCATAGAGAATCAATGTGCAAAGAAAGCCAGCAGATATGTGCAAAATGCAGTGAAGTTGGGCATTCATACAGGGATTACAAAAATACCTTTCAGAAACGCATTAATTTGTTCTAAAGCAAAAGCAATTGTTAAACTTAGCGAAATAGATGTCAATCATGATTCAAGAGATAAGTGTTGTAGCGCATTACAGAGAAAATTAAAAGGTGAAGCAGAGAGAACCTTGTACTAGCAACTAAATGCGCCAATAGCGAAGCGAATTACCAAATGCTTGTATCTTAATATTGGCGGATTATGCACAAACTACGCACAGCTAGAGGTGGTTGTAGAGAGCGAATAGTTTGACTTCGTATGTCTAACTGAAACGCACTTAACTGAATCAATCGAAGATAGCGAAGTCACATTAAATAATTATTCAATAGTAAGATGCGATAGTGAATCTACGCACACCGGGGGAGTCATTGTATACGTTAGGAAAGCTTCGAATATAGACTCCATTGAAATTATTGCTCAAGAAAAAATGTTTTGGTGGCTTTCTTTGCCAGTGACTCAGGGTAGCAAGAAATTATAGATTGCATTGGTTTATAGGTCACCAAACAGGCAATCTTCGCTCGTACTTCTTTTTTGCGACTTTATAAAAGCGAAAGTTGACCACCTCTCTAATCTTGGAGAGGTATTTTTGCTCGGGGACTTTAACATCAATAGGAAAGAGAGCTCTGCGTGCAAGCGGTACTTAAAACAAACCTTTGAAGCTTACGAGAATAACGAATACGTCTGCAACGTTAATCGAATATGTAGTAACAAATTCGCCTACCACAACATTCAAAATAGCAGCGGACTATATAATAAGTGAGCATGAAACTATCTGTATAGAGATTGGTAAGAGCAGCGAACAGCGAAAAAGTAAGGATACAATTATTCAAACCATCCACTTTAATAGAAGAATACTTATAAATGTTTTTAATACGAGAAATGTCAATAGCATACCTTTATCCAATGACCTTGAGTTAAAAACTAAAAGATTTAACGGCTATGTTAAGGAATCAATTCACAAGATGACGAAGTTTAAAAGTATTCAGTTGAAATGAGACGCTTAAAAATAATCCACAATAAGTGCGCAGTGTGGACAAATAGTCCAGGTGATTGGCATAATTATAAAGAAATTAGAAATAAATACACAAATCAGCTTGAGATGGCAAAAAGCCGATACATCGAAAATCGAATCGAGCAATTCAAGGATCAAAAATCAATGTGGCAAGTAATAGAAAAGCTTGTGCTGAACAAGGAGCATAAAGAAATAAGAAATATAAACTTTAACGGTACGGTGATAACGGATCACAAGGAGCTAGTGAATTGTCTTAATAACTTTTTTGTCGAAAATATTAAAATGATTAATGCGCAAATACCAACAGTGTCCTATATTAGTCATGTTCACGCAACCGTATCAATATTTGAATTCCGGTATGTGTGTCTTAATGAACTTAAGCAAACCATTTTAAAGATGAATAAGAAAAAAGATTTTAATGCATTACCTGCACCATTAGTAATCAAAGCATTCGATACTATTAGACCGATTTTGTTAGAATTAACCAACGAATCACTAACGCATGTTATTTTCCCCGAAATATCGAAAGAAACAAGAGTTGTACCAATTGAAAAGGTTAAAAATGCCAAGAAAGCGGAAGACCTTCGGCCAATAAATACCCTTATGGTCGAAAGTAAAACACTGGAAAAAATGCTTGAGCAATTGCAGCAGCATCTTAATAGAAACAATACACTCTCAGAATTCAAATTTGGATTCAGGCAAAATCACAGTTGTGAAACACTAATAAATCTAGTACTAGCCAGGTGGAAATCCGATCTCGACAGCAACAGGAAAATTGCTGAAATTTTTTCGATTTGCAAAGGGCCTTCGAGACCCTCGACAGGGAGATTTTGCTTGATAAATTGTTCCACTACGGAGTATCCGGGACTGAGCTTCAATGGTTTCAAAGCTATTTGAGCGGAAGATGTCAGCGAACTAAAGTCGACGATTGTGTATCTGACGCGCGTTTTGTGCATCTCGGGGCTCAGAAGGGCGCAGTATTGGGAACGGTGCTATTTATAATCTACATCAATGACTTGGAAAAAGTTTTACAGAACTCAAAAAATATGCTTATTCGCAGACGAAACACTACTATATGTGGCAGGCGACACAGCAGATGAATGTGTAAATAAGCTTAATGAGGATCTCGTTAGAGTGGAAAGGTATCTACATATGAATAAGCTTAAACTAAATGTTAAAAAGACTAAATGGATGATTTTAAATGGCAAATCAAACAAGAACGTCTTATTAGATAGAGAGCAGGTTGAAAAAGTTGAGAAAATTAAGTACCTAGGAATTATATTAGATGCAAAACTAAAGTTTGACTACCATATAGACTATGTCTTTAAAAAGATAGCTAAGAAAATTGACTTTTTTCAAAGAATAAGAAAAAGAGTATCAATGTTATATGCAATTAATATTTACAATACTATGATAAAACCACATTTTGAATATTGTTCGACTATTTCTAAGCAATCAACCTAGTCGGGTAAGAATGCAAGTAC